CGGACATCTTAAATTGATATTCGGACATCTTAAACTGAAAAAAGGTATAGAAAATTTTGAATAGATTGCACAACGAACAATCGGTTTGAATATGGGAAAGAAGTCAATGTTCTGAGTATACCCCGTAACAGATATTTCACTCATTTTCGATGTTATTTCCTTCTCACTGTATTCGAACTGGTCCACCTTTGTTTTCCTTGAATGGGTTAATATAGATGTGATTATTATAGCTAAAACAGTTGTATATTATGGTGGACGTCATATAATCAATTCTGTGGTTAGCCAAACATTACAACAGAATGGAGGAATATCTGGAATTGTATAGGATAACTGGGTTAGAAAACATTCCACTGAAGAAAAGTAGGTAGTTTTGGGATAAACAGACACATAGAACTGAAAAGGGGCTAAATACCGCACGCAATGTAGCGATATTAAGCTGAGGGCGTCATAAAATTTTTAAATTTCTTCGATACATAAAGGATACGCAGGATGGTGCATCTAAATTCCGCTACAAATAAACAGTTTATAATTATAAATTATAAATCATAGTATAATTATAATATAATAATGTATATCTAATAATTATAATTATAATATTATAATTTTAATTATAAACATTGGGAACAACTAACAGGATTAACCTACTTTTCATCTATCCAGGTTATTTTGTTACAAAACTGTCAATCGATTTGTATACTACTTATTAGCATCTATTACTGTTTACCCTGCTATGTCGCAGTTCCTGGAATTTACCCACTTTTTCGAATTCCCGAGGGATGCGACATAGCAGGAGATTGACTGTATATAGAATGAAAAGAAAGGGTGCATAGTGTTAGATCTTGAGCCTCAATATCCCTTTGTGTCCCACTAAGACAACTGTTACCTAATTAAGTCAGCAGTATTTAATTGAGTTGGGAAACGTTACATCGAGAGCAGTCTCCACTGGGAAAGCATTTGATTATGGTTCGGTTTGCACACACACACACACACACACGGACCAAGGCGCATATAATGACACAATCGCACAGTCCAGATGAATCACTGTCTATCGATTCCATTGTTAATAGTTCAAACCTGAAAAATTGCAAACCGGACAACAGTTTCTGTTAGGCATGAAGAAGACCTTGGACAAACATATTACTGACGATTCTGGGATGTGGTGAAGTGTTTTTTCCTTTTCTTTGCACGAACTCCAAAAATGAAGCGTTCATCTCAGTGGAACCTACCGATAGAGGAAAAACGGTCCGCTTTCTGAGGGGAATCCTTGTATCGGTATGTCGGCACTTGGTGAATCGGCACGACAACAGAAATAGTAGTCTAATCGATCCATTTTCATTGTCGTGTCCTTCATCTGGACACGAACTCGCTGAATATCCGGCACAATCAGTTGATCCATTGCGTCCGCATAGCGTGCGGCTGATTGTGCATCGGTCGGAGCCTCGTCCACCTTTTGCGGACCTTCCATGATATTCAACACACCTTTGGTAAATCCTGATATGGGTGGGCAAGCAGAGGGGGGGGGGCAGATTGAGCGATGAGGCAGAAATCCATGTTTTAGGTACATTACAAGAAAACCTCTTAAAGTGTTCCCAATACTACATAATCATGGAGAAATTTCATTCACCATTTTGACGCATGCATCTGCATTTCATTCAATTCGATGAATAGCTCTATGTATCTCAATAGGTGGATATTCAAAATGTAGGACACAAAAAATCAGTGGGTGGGTAGTTAGCTTTAGCTAAAGGAGAGTGACTATGAGCATGGTGTACAAATTTTCAGAATACGATCAACCGATTCTCTGTGGACATGATAAGTACACTAGTTACCATAGGTTATTTGGATAGTTCGGGTGTTATAATTCGAATCGCTCTATCTTCAGGAATAGTAAGAACTCTCCAGCATAATCCTTTATCGTGAAGCTCACGGTATTTTTGAGCTATTTGGGTGTGCATTCTCACACGGATTAGCTCGCAAGCATCACGTCCTTTGTTTCAGATGAACCATTCTATCAATCGATGAATGAACCCTGTTCGATTGCATGATTGTCGAAACCACACAGGAGAATAGGTTATAAATTCTATGCTGCTTAAGTGTTGGCAGAGA